TGGGTTTTGTTGGTATTACTACATTGTTTAAAGCTAGGGAATTTCATGTAAGAACCTCTATAAGCTGCTCACCCTGATTCAACAAAGGAATTAAGGGGTTGTCAGGAATCAGGCAGGAGAGAATTTTTCTCATCGCCATTTCCAAAATCCTAGTCCTTTCTTCTAGCTCAGATGTTCGAGTGGATTCTAGAGGTCTTTCATGTCATAAGGTAGTATAATCAAGATGCCTCTACCAAGCATCTCTTGGAACCTAGTGTTGTTCTTTGTGTTGAGTGACATAGCCCGTAAGTGTTCGTTCATCATTAGAACTGCTAGATTGTTCTCTTTTTGCCCTACCCACAAAAAGGTTTTCAGGCAACGGTTGGAATTCATTGAAGTCAAACTCTAGAAACTGAGTATTATCCTGATCATCCACTCTTTCCACTTGGGGGAGTGATTTCTTGTGAATGTACACACCATGCTTATCTTCAACTTGCAAAGCAACACGAGTTCCTTGTTCTTTCCCACAGACAATGCCAAATGTTTGGGCAGCTTTGCAAACTTCTATTATTGAGATAAAAAACTATTCCAAGACTTGAAAAACTCGAGAATATTTCCTCGAGGAGATGCTCCAACACTCAAGTTAATAATACTTTATAAGTTTAAATACCATTTTGGTCCCTCAACTTTCCACTTTGGCACCAAGAATGTCCTTCAACTTTAAAAAGTATCAAAATTATCCCTAAATTTTCATTTTCGGTACCAAAATGGTCCTTCCTTCAGTTAAATGGACAGATGGCACGTTAACTTGCTAGCAAATCAATTCTTTTATAAAAAAATACTGATGTGGAAAAGATAACATGAAAATTGATGAGGTGACACTTTTTTTATTTATGTGGCATTTTTAATTTTAACAAATAAATAGAAACCATTTATTATTAATTAATTAAAGTCATTTTGAAAATTAACCTTCTTTTCCCTTATTCTCCCTTTTCTCTTCACTCTTCCCCTCTTTCTCTCTTTCATCCTTGGGACAACATGTCTTCTTCTTCTCCATTTCCTCCAACATCTCTTCCCTTTCCAAATTCTAGTTCCCACCCTTCAAGGTAACCAATTTCTGATTCCACCTTGATCATTTATGAGTTGGGTTTCTTGACTCAGTCTTGCTCTCTCGATCTTGAACAACAAACCCAAAATCTGATGTGAATGAGAACTTAGGATCTGCAAACCTAAAAATTTTCTTCGGATTCTCCCTCAACCTATAAACCAAAGCTTTCTCTTCCAAAACTTCCCTGCTCTTGCTTTCTCTTTCTTACTCCTCCCCAAAAGAAGATGATGGAAAAGAAGCAGAGTCATCATCACCACCACCACCACTGTCGGTCTTAGAAGGAAGGGGACGGGTGGCGAGATAAGCCTTCATGTGACCCCCTAAAGCTTTAGCATTGACGAAACCCTGACCACATAGCCGCCTTGAACCAACTTCAAATCAAAATTAATTTACGAAGTACCAGAGGTGGAGAGGAAAAGGAGAGAAGGTTTAAGATAGAGCAAATTGATTTAAGGTTGCTTTGGGAACCCAAATCTAGGTTTGAGAGAATCCAGATCTGGGTTTGAGAAAATCCCAGATCTAGAGAAGAAGAAGAAAGGAGATGAGAGAAAAAGAATAAGAAGAAAAGAAGAATAAGGATGAGCAGGGAAAGGAAGGAGGAAGGTTGATAGCGAATGAGGAGGCAAAAACTATCGAAGGAGGAAAGAAGGAAGAAGATGAAGTTTTAGAGAGAAAACCCAGATTTGGGTTTTAACCCAGATTTGTAATTGGAAAACAACCTTTTACTTTGCACAAACACCTTGTCCATGAATCCTTGGTTGATTCCATGATTTACTACGTAGAAAAATTCACAATCCAAACGCACCTAAACCAAACCAAATAGAAACACACAAATTCAAGACTCAAAAAAAAAAGAAGTTAAGCTAAAAGATTTTCCACCATAGTCACAACAAACATAATAGGTACTGAAAACAACTATGAATTAGCAACACATCTTTGATGTATTATGATCTAAAGCAAACTCAATGATGCTAAGGTTCAAGTTTTAAGGTTTGCAGAGGTAAGGAGAGAGAAAGTGAAAGAGGAAGAAGAAATCCCTTTTTTTCTGATATGGATGGAAAAAAAAGTATGTCATTATTTTTAAATTAAATAAAAATGCCAACTCATAAAAAGGATGGCCAACTATGCTTTTTTTTTTTCCATGTCATTAGTTAAGAAAAAAAGAATTGATTTGTTGGGAAATTAACCTGTCACCTGTCTATTTTATTGATGGAAGGACCATTTTGGTATCGAAAATGAAAATTTAGGAATAATTTTGGCACTTTTAAAGTTGAGGGACAATTTTGGTGCCAGAGTGGAAAGTCGAGGGACCAAAATGGTATTTAAACCTACTTTATAATTTAGAGAGAGAAGCATAATGGAGTTATTACCTTGCATGACAATAGATGGAGGTATTTATAGCCTCTATTAATGACAGAGTGTTCCACGTGTAGTCATCCGATTAAGCCAAGTGTCACCAATCACATGGGTGCATCTTGGTGAACATGCCCACACTATTAAGCTGCCTTTGGGCTATCCTTGACTTGTTAGGCCTATATCTATAACTAGACCTGCTAATTGGGCTCATTGTTGATGTTGGGCCTATTCCCAACAGCGTGGTCATTATGGCTTTCAAGAAATGATACTATTTCAATGGAAATCAAATCAATGTAGAAGTTGTTTTTGAGTTGGTTCAAAGCCAATCTTTTATTTGAATTTCTAGGAACTTGGAATGATGGCAATACTCCTTTGATGAATGGCAACAAGATCCAAGGAGAAGCAAATAGCTAAATGTAGTGTCCTAATCTTTTATTGAAACAAGAGTACAATTATGAGTGGTATATAGATGTGAAAACCAATTACTATATATTAATAACTTGAACTTTTAAGGACATAATATCTTGACCCAAAAAATTATTAGGCCATTATCAAGTTTCAACTTAAATCATTTCAATTTGTACCAAGATTAGGTCCCCTTTGTAGTAGGTATGAGTCCATGCTAAGAAACCTTAATACAAAGAAGTCCCCTTGATCTTCAAGGGCTTGGAGTCAATGGCGGTGGCATAGTTAGGTTTCATGCTCCAAAATCTAGCATCACTTGAGGTAGTGGGAGAGATTGTAACACTCAAACCCTATATTAGAAGAAGAGTAAGAGTTTGATTGGTAGACCAACCACTACCAGCTCTAATCTCACATAAGAAAGAGTCTAATTATGAATACTATATAAGTATAAAGACTAGTCATTATTAAAAATTTGAATTTGGTCTTTTTGAAGACTCATAAATTTTGATCCAAAAAATTGTTAGACCATTTATGGTTTTAAAACAAATTGTTTAACTAAACATGGGTGCAATTGTAGACTAAATAGGGGCACAAGTGCTATGATTAATTGTATTCCATTGTTAGTGGTTGTTTTGTGCATGGGTAGAGAATCCCTTATATTTGGATAATAAAATTTTTATATATTTTGGTTATTCCAAAAAAAATTGATATGTTATTATATGATTTACTTTTTATTTGTAGTTTTATCTATAATATTATATATATATTTATTTAATAATATGTTCAAATTATAAATTTATAATTATCTTATACTATATTTTTTAAGTAAGTCATTGCCATTATCATTGAAGTCGATAACCATTACGTTTGTAAGGTGATTGAGAATTGATTTCATTATTTAAACTCAAGAGTATATCACTACACTTATATAGGGTTTAGCAATAGTTTGTTATGAGTATCATTGGAATTCAGATTGTATAATAGTTTTTAAGTTTTTTTTTATTTTAATTTTATTTCTTTTCTTTTTTTCTAAATAAATTGACGGACTAGCCAAAAAAGTAAAAGATAAAAAAATAAAAAGAAAAAAGAGAGAAAATTGATAGGGTTTTGGTTTCGGCTTGGACATGTGGGGCCCACTGTTTTGACCGGCGCGATTTTCTTGTTGATGTAGGGAGGCGGGTCCATACATAATCCCGTAGTTTACGCGGGATGTCCATTTGTCAAAGTACTTAAATTGCAATTGCTACTCTAATTGGTACTAGTACTGTGTGCATTTTTTATTTATTTCTACTTAAATTTGTCATAACTCCGCAATCAAGCTTTAGAAATTTAGGCCATGTGTTTTCCACCTTATTCCACCTTGCCGTTGTTTACACATTCATGAAACTCAAATCGAAAACGTTGCATTCCGTGCTCCCACCCCACTTCATCCAAGAGAAAGTATATAATTAAGGCTAAGAACTTTATTTTTATTTTTTTTTTAATTTTAAGATGTGAATTTTATTCATTTTTAAATAAAATAATAATTTTTTATTTAAATATGTTAATTTTTTATTTTTTATATTTAAAAATTAATTAGATGGTTGAAAACTTTGTTAACTATACCAATATAACTATTCAATTAATTCTAAAATAAAAACAATGTAAAATTATTACTTTTAAATAGAAAAATAAAAAATTTATCGTATTATTTAGAAATTAACAAAATTTGCACTCTTAAATAAAAAAATAACAAAATTTTTATCCTTATTTATACCATTTCTCACTTTCCAATGACATACTTTTTCTCTTTCAAAATAGGTTAAATGTGAAATTTAATCCTTTGAATTTTTTATCTTGAATAATTTTAATCCCCAAAATATTTTTTTACCCTTTTTCGTCTCTTAATTATAAAAAATGTATTTTTTTAATCATTTCTTCAATTTTTGTTCGGCTTAATTCAATTATTAGTCTATTAACTATCAACTTAATTTTATTTTAGTCTAAAATTTATTTTCTTTCTAAATGGTCTATAAACTTTGGAGAATATTTCAAAATAATTTACAGTACAAAATTTTTGTTAGATTTAACAGAACAGAGTAGTCAATTTTTGCAAAAGTGACATTATAATCCTAATAAAATATGATAACTCAAGAAATATTTTATAAAAATAGATTAGTTAGAATTTGTAATAAATTTGAGCAACTAATTCAATTCAAACAGAGAAACTTATTAAGTTTAAAATAAGAAGTTTCAAGAGTAAATCTGTTTTATAGAACAAATTGTAAGGGCAGACTGTATGCAGTCCATTCTATAAAATTATTTAAATGTCTCTGAAAAATAATATAAAAATAAAAGTAAGGACATTGAAATAACAAGAACACATTTAACAAGATAAGAATAAAAACTATTTTTACGATAAATATAAATTCAAGGACTAAAAGATCAAAAGAAATATAGTTAGAAGATTAATTAAATATTTTCATATAAAATTAGAAGATTTCCGTTAAAGATAATAGATTAGATAAAATTGAAATAAATGTGAAAAACAATGAATAGGATTGGAAGAATTCAAAGATAATAGATGAAACTGAAAATAATATGAAAGTTAATAGATGATTTGTTAAATTAAGTCATTTTGTTTGTTAAGTATGTACAAATAGGTATGAAAGATTTATTAAGCTCTGGACCGAGGACTGCATTATTTAGAAAATCCAATACCACATTAGTAATATCCTTTCCAACAATACACTGATTTGCTTGATTAAAAATGGCATTATATCCATTTGATCCAAGCACCTTTGATGGATTCATTTGTTTTTAAGCCAATTCCATCTCCTCCCCTGTACAATTTGTTTAGTCCTCATGCCCCATACTAAATCTAATGTGGACTTGTAATCCTTTAATTAAGAGGAAGTAATCAGCGATTATTGGTTCAATAATCTCGTGGAAGCAAGCAAGAGTAAAGGAAATAGGTGAAATAGGAATATAAGCCGGTTAGAAGCCGGTTAGAATTGAGATATGGATTGTGAAAGTACAAGATTGATTTTGTTGATGAGGATGTAATGGGTTGGAGTACTCCATGTGCTCCTTTATATTTATATAAATGCTATTTTGGCTGATAAAATAATAACAATAATAATAGTAATCAGCGACTATTCAACTTATGTCCTTAACCCCCATACTTTATTGGCCATTTTTATCCTTAAATCATTTATTGTATTGCATTGCCTCTTAGTTGAGGCTTTCAAATGAAAGAAAGCGGTATTCCTGTCTTCCTCCTTCAGCTAAGCTATTATTGATCGCTGCTTCCACAAGATCTGTTCCTTCCTCAGTTATTCATTCACCTCATGTTCTAAATTCTTCATTTCCAGTGTGGCTTCTGTACCATTCTCCTTCTCCTTCAACCACCCCAACCAATCTTGTTTTTATACTAACTCCCTCCAGACATAACTATATGTCTTACTATTCCACTCGTTAAACTTCTCTACACATCCTCATAGTATTAAGTAGTATCAAATGCTCTTCTTCCTTAGTTAGCGTTTCATTCATGTCTTACCACTTCTTCAAACTCATCATGTCTTGCCCACATGTTCTTGTATCTAAAAGATTGTTGCCTTAGTTTCTCCATCTTTACTTGCTCCTTTATTTTGACAAGCAGAGGCAAATGATCTAAGGCAGAATTATCCAGATGATGGACCTTTGAAGTTAAGAACCTTAAAAACTAGTCGTGAGTAGCCAAAGCCTTATCTAATCTCTCTTTCACTATTTCATCCCCATTCAAACAAAACCACCTAAATTCAAACCCTATGAATGGTACTTCATCAAAGCCACACTTCTCCACTCGCTACTAAAATTTTGGGTTTTACCAACAATACATTAGCAATAAGGGATTGCTTGTTGCTAAAAATAAGTATCAGCAACAAGCTTTATGTTGCTGAAAGTGCTACAGTGCACCAATCCATGCAAAAAGCTGCCACACTTTCACCAATACACTTCTTGTTGCTGAAAGTAACTTTCAACAACATACTCCATCTTGCTGATATTTTCCGGTGAATTCTTTGCCATTTAAATGAGCTCCACTTTTCAGCAACAAGGAACTCGTTGCTGAAATTCACTTTCAGCAACAATGGGCATGTTGCTGAAAGTGTCTCTCTTTTTTATCACCTCTTGCACTTTCA